ATGTCACCAACAACAACCCCCGACACATTGGATACTACTCCTCGTCGAGCTTGTCAAACGTGAAGGTGGCATACCTCGCCGAACAACTACTGACAGGGGAACCGAAACAATCCACATGGCTGGCCACCAGATCAACCTCACCGAATCGTTCAATGCAGACTGCCCAGATCCGATTCAGTCACACCTGTTCACCAAGAGCACCCACAATCAGAAGATTGAGTGTCTATGGTCGCAGTTAATGAAGCAATACAACAGCGAGCTAATAAACCAACTCTTTCGGGCGGAGGAGCAATCGTACTATGATCCACAAGATCCTGTTGAGCAGTAAGTTTATTTATCCACAGCTTCTCTGGTTTGGTAATAAACTGACTAACATTGCATGCATCAAAAGTCTTTTATTTATTTACTTATGGGTTCCACTTCTGCAAGAAAGTCTCGATCAATGGACGAGTAACTATAACAATTACAAACGTCGATGGGACAAGAAGAGCATGCTCCCAACTCGATGTAGTGCAGAATGGTGCTATCAATATCCCTCGGAGGTCGGAGGCGAACAAGGATTGATTCCAGTGCCAATATCTGCTGCCGAGGCCTTACAGCAGGCGTTCTATCCGGAGGGGACAGAATTAATGGAGACGTCTCCCAAATGGTTTGTCGAAGCAATCAAAGAGCTGGAAACCGGGATGCATCTCACAATACCTGTTGTTGACATTCACAACGTTTGGGAGGTGTTCTCTCTTTTTCTTGAAGCTATCCGTTCTTTTGACTCGTCTTGGCTTTCAGACCCTACCAATGACCCTTCTGAATCTTTCTCTCATCGTGCCGCATCTTTTGATGAATAATATGGTTTCTTTATTCATGTCTTTGAATCAAAATAACATAATTTCTGAATTTGTTACATAAGTTACTTGGATGCGTTGTCTTGAATGCGAGTATCTGATTGATTATTTTTATTCAATAATCAATTTCAATTTGGGATGGATGATCAAGCAGTGGTAATTTATGTTTAAAATTGAAAATATGGAATTCATATGAAACAAAAGACATCATGATAAGGGGGATGGTAAATAAAGAACACTTTAATTGAAAAAGGTAACTATCAGGGAATCAGGATGGATATTTTTGGGATTTACATAAAGTCTTTTTACGTATCTCTTCAGGAGTAGCATCTTTTAATTTTTTAGCAACATTGGCAAGTCTCCTGTTGATTTGAAAAGAACAACCTTGGTGAGTCCAGGGGCGTTCTGGATCATTTTGAGAAGAAAGGGAAGGAGGAGGAGGAGTTGTACAATGTTCAAACTTGGTAGTCTGCCAAACAAGTTCAACAATGCCATTAGATTTTACAAAGTCAATCAGATAAGCATGCCTTGGAAATAAAAATCCATGACCTAATTCGGAGGAAGGAGGAGGAATGGGCCTCCCAGTTGACTTATCAATATAAGCAAATATACCATAGGTCCATCCATTTAAGTCGTTCTCATCTTGATGGGCTTGGTTGTAGAAATCGTTATATGTGACGGAAACATTTGCAGCAAATTTGAGGTGTTCACGATCTTCATTCTTCATTTCAGTCCACTCCTCCTGAGTCCAATTAGGGATTCCGTATTCTTGCATCAGGGCTTGATTTTCCAGGAAGGCGGTTCGAGAGAGAGCTTCCATCCTGCCAGCAAGGAAGTCATTGTGGGATTGAAGCTTGGCCCAGTTTGCATCGTCTTCGGCAGTTTGAGCAGGGGTGAGTGTGTTGCGTACATAAGTACCTAGGACAATAATTAATGAATAATCATGAGTATAGCATATGGGATTACTTAGGGCATCATTGGGAAAAAAATGTAATTCGGACATACCTCCAGACTTGCCATCGTCATTTCCTGGGCGGAATCCTATCAGATGCATTTCACCATTGAGTCGTTTGGTATTTCGTTTGTTATGCGGACGATATCTGGCCATGGCATGGAGCGTTTGGATCACATCACAGAGTTTGTCGAATATTGGAGTAGATGGAGATGTTTGGAAGGAGTGATACTCTAGGATGAAGTGAGGTACAAGGCCTGAAGATAGTGCGATTTGACGGGAAGGTTTATCTGTTTTAGGCAAGTATTGAATTGGTTTGTGGGATACTTTTTCTTCAGAAGGGGAGCAGAGAAAGAAATATGTATGCTCGGTAGAGCCGAATTTTCTTTCGAGACTAGCAATCTTCTTTGCAGTACCAGTTGGATATTGAGGCGGAGGGTTGCGGGGCTTTGATGTTTGAATACCGTGATCCGGAAGTCTTTTCGGGACAGGTTTACGATTCCAAAGTGGCTCATCATCCTCACTTGACGCACCGACCACACATGACCCACTTTCACCCTGATGGTTGCCGGCCTTGCGCCGAACAAGCGATTCAGGGCTTCCATGTGCCAAGGGGCCCTTGCTTTGAGTTGATGAGGCACTGACCACACATGACCCACTTTCACCCTGATGGTTGCCGGCCTTGCGCCGAACAAGCAAATCAGGGCTTCCATGTGCCAA